TGTCGTACCATTTGTCGAGAGGCTAAGCTCTGTAAGAGGCGTACTACATAAAAGGCTCGACTACACAGTTTGGTCTAGGAGAGCCTACTGAACATTTCTAAGTACTATGAAATCCCAAATTACAGGTAAAAAACTAGAAGCAGTCTTATGTCAGGTACCTGTTGTTAAAAACAAGTTTCATTTTATAAAAACATCTGCATGTTGGGATAGAGACAACATTTGTAATAACTGTTACATCAGTCATAAACTTACAAACATGACTTCAGAGACCAGCACAGATTTCTAGTTGTAGACATTTATTTTATTAAGTCAATGCCAGTCAAGACAGCCATATATAAAAACTGAACGAAATAACTATGCTTCAAATTAAGTTCAATCAAAATACATTTATTCCAAATTAAATAGTTCAAATTTCAATACATATTCATGAAGACATCTCCTTGACCTTAAGGTCATGATTCACAATTTGCATGTGCATGTGCATGTTCATGCACGGTGCACAATTAGTGTGTTGGTCGTTTTTGTCGTGACATTATATTGAAACATAATATCATCGCTTTGGAAACGTTATCTACAGCAGGACGACACTCATAACTTGCGGCGAAACCGCATTATCAGTGGTTCATATTGGGAAAGGGAGGTCACTCTAATTTCAAACGGGAGCTATCTCCGTTGCCTTCGTATTGGCGAGAAATGGCGTCACCCTAGCTGTACGTTGTTGGTCCAGCTATTAAATGCCCAGCATATCCCTAAGGAAAACGTATTCTTAATTAAATGTTTGAATGCATTATATATTCATTTTTCCATCCGTCTATCTTCTAAGATTGGTTTAGTGCTGATAACCATTTTCTAAAATGTTGGCCCACATTCCCGTCACCTATGGTGATCGAAACAAGTGGGCCCACATTTGTATTTCGCCCAGCTTCGTTAGGTTGTTTCGTTAGTTCTGATAATCAATTCTTAAATGTGGGAAGACATTCTTCCGTCATATTGATTGCAACAGGAGGGACCACATTTATGAATCGCGAAATTCTACTTAAATATATATTGATAATCATTTTCTCAAATGTGGGCCCACATTGTTCCCGTCATATATGGTGGTCGAAACAAGTGGGCCCACATTTGTATATCGCCTATATAGTGGGTAGACGTTCTTCCGTCATAGTGATTGCAACAGGGGGGACCACATTAAAAAATCGCTAAGCTTCATTAGCTTGGCTTACTTATTACCATTTTCTAAAATGTAGGCCCATATTATTCCCGTCTTATAGTGATCGAAACAGGTGGGCCCACATTTGTAAATCGCTGGGTTTCATTGGGTTGACGAAGTCATTTAGGCTAGTGGTCTCACATTTGTCACTACTTTGCATGGGTATGTGACATTATATATTATTTATATTTTGTAATATTGATGGGAAATATCTTTATAAATCATTTCGTGTGACGTTTATTCCACGAAAGGCACAAAAGTCTTTGGAGTTTGAATAACGCCATTATAGCTGACCACACTAGTTTAACAAAAATAGCTACAAAGCAAAAACTTAAATCTACTTCAAATTAAATTTACAGAGGCAATACCACTCATTCTACTTTTTCCAGTATAACACATCAATCTAATCATAAGTGTTGGTGGCGACATAAGCCTGAAAATACGTCTACACTTGAATTGATCTCGGACATGATACAAGCCTCAAACATTTCCGAGAACTTGTTCCATAAAAGGAATAACTATGAATATTAATGACCCCACGACCTAGTTTGGCGATGGTCGTAGAAGTGAGTTCTGCTGTATTGTCATCGCATTTATACATTTTAATCCAATTATAAGTCATAATACTTATTTTTAAAAGACAAAATAGCAGTTCGTAATGCGGGTTTGTTTACATAGTACATATTTTTAGTTTCGAATGTGGGCCCACCTAGAACTTTCGATTAGGCAAACGGAGTTAGCTCCCTTCTCGAACCACCGATAATGCGGTTTCGCCTAACTTGCTACTGGCCGACCGGGCGTCCACATGTGATATCACGTGAACAAGACAATCATATTCGTTTGCTACAAGTACGAAATCGATACGATACACAGCTTGGATAATTCCTGGGTTGAGACTCATTAACATGAACACAGTCAGTTGATGGAGCACAACATCCGGTTCTGACGTCCAACAGTCCGCCCAATTTTCATCCACGCCTAGCTTGGTGTGGACAGCATCTGGGGTTCAGAAAACAAGACTGCGAGATGGGAGAAACTGTTCACAGACGAGGCCAGATTTCATCTGGACAACTCTGATGGTCGTTCAATGGTCTACAGGCGTCCAGGCGAACGTTTAAGTGACGCTTGCGTTACTCAACGTCGTCGTTTGTGGGGTGTAATGGTATGGGTGGCATCACAACTCATGGGAAAACACAACACATTATTGTTATTGGCAATTTGAATGGCGTACGCTACCAGAACGATATCGTTCGAGATCATGACCTAGCCTTTGGGCAAATGTAGGGGCGTAACGTCACATTGCAGCAGTGTAATGCCCGGCCATATGTTGCACGCGTTATAGCACTTTTTGAGGCAGAATAACTTCAGACATCTCCCCCCAATAGAACCTGTTTTGGATGGATGAGATCGGGGACGCCTACGACAGGACCCGTACCAGCCTGTGGCGCCAGCTCAGTTGGAACAATCTTAGGTTGACATTTAGAACAACATCCCCGAAATTGTTTATGATCCCCCGGTGTCGTTACTGCGCCACCGTTGCCTCGCCTGTATTAACAGAAATGGTCACACGATACGGATGCTACTTTGATCTGCACATGTCTTTTTTGCTGATCTTTTTACACCCTCAAAGGTTACCTCCGATCTCAAACAAACTTGTTCAGCACATGAGACGAGCAAACTACCAAGTCTATGTTTGGAGATGTGCAATGCAAGCCATGCATGATTTTCAATCTATTGATGGTCATGGATGGAAGATATAAGTCGAAGTAATTCAGCACCCGAAGAGACTGACGCCAGAGACTGTGTAAATTATACTACGGACAAAACAAAAGGGAACTGATGAAATTATAGTGAAGGTGTAATCATGTTAAATGTCTGTAAAATTAATTTCGGGCGTGTAGATCAATATATCTGGTGTGTCCACTATGTTGGGTGATACAAGCTTGACCACTTGTGTATGTTGCCCTTGGTATTACACACCAATCCGCTTGAAGAGCTACCCCGAGCTGGGACACGTGGGTGGGTGCTTGGTCCCTGCCAGAGCTCGAGAACATCCTACAGATGCTCTATTGAGGACATGTCCGTCGGAGGATATCGGTAATGACCTGGGCACGATGTGGTCTGGTTTTGTCATATTGCAGTTCAATAATTCTATCAGATACTGATACGATTGGAACAACGAGAGGACACAAAATGTCATCAAGATACCGCTGGTCACTCAAATGCAGTCACAATAACCAAATCGGTTTGCTCGTCATGCTCAGTTTTATGTGTGAATGAAACATATCAAAGCAATCATTGGCTATAATAGGCATGTACCATACTGGTTTTAGAATGGTCATTTCGCCACCTGTCGTCCATTTTGAAAAATGGTTACAATGACTGCCATTGGCTTAATTAAAACATATTTTATAACCAGAAATATCTGTTGGTCACTGAAGTAAGTCTGTGCCATGTTTCGTAATTTTTTACCTCATGTTACAGTTATTACAAATTATGTTTCCATCCCACCATGCAGATATATTTATAAAATAAACCTAGTACTTACAATAGGTACCTGGCATTATCTAGACTTCCTCTAGTTTTTTAACCTAACATATTAGGTAGTAATGAAATGTCTAGTAGACACTCCCAGACCAAACCAAACTTTTATATAGTAGGTGTTGAACAAAACTTTTTTAGCTTGGCTCCTGTACTATATCTTTAATAATGTAAACATGGCTTTTGTACATTTTTCACAAGCATTTTTTATTGCTATTGTGAAATACCCTAACATTTTTCTCGGTAATATATTCTCTGTGATCGATGTGGAAATACAGAATATAAGAACAAATGAAATCTAAAAAATGTCGATGCATTTAACAAAGGCTGCGGATAATAACTAGATCCCAAATTGACATGACAGATTTAATAGCAATAGTCATAAAGAAACAAATGTGTCTTTCAACTTCTTTTGAGTAGTAGGTAATATTTTTCGCTTTCCTCTTTTCCAAAATTTGAGCCTTTGAGCTTTTGCTGTTTGTTTATGTATGTTTGTAATACTATATATATTATAGTATATATCTTAAGAAATGAGAGAGAAACAAACAAAATGCAATATTAAGTCACTAGAAACCTATTCTCTCCAAACTTTAAAAACAGCATTTTGTACGAATGTATGTAGACAAAAAAACCTAAAAAACCGAATCCTATTTTTACTTTATGTACATGTAAAATTTCATTAACGACCAAACGACCAAGTTGATTTATGTCAAATCACCAAATGAAAATAATGTCCACCAACAGTGGTGATGTTTGGTGACGTCAAATAATTTGACAATGACACGCTGTGTGATGACAAAAACATATAAAGGGACATTGTGTGACTTAACATGCGTTTATTGTCTGACGTCGCACTCGGTAATTATCAGCTATGTGACGTTGGTAATCATTCTTTTGACAAGAAGACGTTGCTGGGGACCTATTCTAAAAGTAGGTTATTACATTAGTTTATGTAGATGTGTATCACCAAAGTAATTTTGGCGAGTCAGGGTCGGGATTTGGGGAGTTGTAATGACTGATTGAACACAAACTTGGGATTACTTGGCAAACTGACTGTGATGGAAGACCAAGAACTCGCATATGGCGTCAACGGCGTAACGTCACAATGCTGATGATGTACGCTTAACTACGCCGTGACGAGGGTATCATCCATTTCCTGTTTTATGAATGACCATTCCAGTAAATATATGTCCTTAAATATAAATTATTATTCAAACATTACAACAAACTAGTCGATGATGCGCACAAAGTATATTATATTGACATCAATAGGAAATACATAAGTACAAATTAAGGATACTATTTACAAAATAACGTATATTTACAAACGATATTATTAATGATAGTTATTTAAACAAAATGACTGACAGTACAAATAGTCATGAGGTCATGAACGATGTTGTATTCTGATGTATCTCCTATTAAGAAAGCATTGCTCTTTACATTTCAACATGTCATAGATGGTGTAGATAAGAATAGACGATACTGATATTTTGCATATACAGTACAAAAGTATAATATAATACATGGTAATATTTTACATATATTAGACAGATCTGATTGCACTGAGTACATATATATATAATACAACAAAACCTGAAATAAGACCAATCACATATATACAACTAGAAACTACATTGCACGTTGGTGTTCCAAATCGCTTTGTATTAGAACACAAATAAAGTAATATTCATAAAAGGTATCCATACATTAGGTTTATGAAAAGTTTTAAATGTTTTTGGTTGTGTGGATAAGTTAAAACGGTCGGCCAAGGACATCGATACGTCTTGGTCTATTTTCCGGTAAATATTTGTTTTTATAGTTTTTCTTTCACTATCAATTTTGTTCGGATTTTAACAAAAGAGTATCTTAATATTTTGCCTACAACTAAGCTTTCTAATCACGGTTTCGCCATTAACAGCCTAGTTATGTCTTTTCAGAAATTCCATGGCAGTCATTAAGAGAAATTTGCTAAATATGAAACGTCGCTAAATATGATACGTCGATTCAGATATTCGAGACTGATTAGTCTCCAGCGTGAACTGAATTTCCTATCACTGATTTCTCCCTAGTGCCTAATACTTTAACATAACTTTGTCACCTTGGCGCTTTCAAAATACGCTGTTTCTGACAAATATTTGATGGCCTTATATGTGAACACTTTTCTTCAGCTGATGACCTCAAGAATAATGGGTCGGAATGTCGAAATTGAATTTTATCTAAATTCCTCAAATTTCTTGGATTTTAAATTTCGATTTCTCAACCACTTCAAACTGAGTTCAAATTGTACCAAACGAATGTAAATGTATATTCGCGAACAGCATTGCTCGGTGTCAGATCGGGTTACATAAAACAGTATAGCATCAAAACGGAAAATAACTCCAGAACTGGAACCGACTTTAGCATGCCAGAAAATAATTTAAGATTATTGTCAGGTCTCTTTAGGATCATTCGGGGATCAGAACAAAAACCATAATGTCACCTTGGCGTATTAAATAAAACCATCTGAAACTGTAATCCCCTATCGAAGGATTAAGAGAAGGAAAACGTTCGCACTCTCGTGAAATTATTGCGAGACAACACCAATTCTTTCTGAGTGGCTGCATAAACATCAATCATGAACATCGCATCTTTCAACACAGGGTTAATGTACCGGTAATGACATACAAGGATCCTCACTCGATCTAATTCAAATACATTCAGCCTTAATATCAAGGGCACTCAATTAACCAACGCTCTAATTATATAAGACGTTTCATCCATCTGAGTGTGTTGAATCCAAAGCCGGCCTTGATTGTAGATTGTGTTTAGTCGACGATGTCGAGAATAACAACGGCGCTGCTGCTTAGAAACATCTCTGTTTGAGCTCAGCTGAAACACATAATTAATCACTTATACATACAATTATTCATATATACATACATTTACCAACATAATATCTAAATATCCATTTGAACATATACCTATCCATATAATTTATTATCCACGTAAAATATAAACTGCCGGCCAAAAATAATAATATTTGATACTGGCTAAAAATGAAACAAACAAGAAATGGTTATTCGATTGTGATGCATTTGATACAAGTGTCATAGTGGTGTTTTGGACCTTAAAGGGGAAGTGTACACACAAAAATCACTTTCTTTCTTTTTCTAAACAAAACGCAATTTTAGTATTAGTTAGTATATGTGTTTGAAAATATAAACTCATTTTTTTTCACAGTGAAAGTAGGAAGCTCCCAATAGTGTGAAAATGATATGCCGTTATGAGGCCTTCGTTTTTCGAGCTAAACAGGCCTGAGTTATCCCACTTAGATTATGACGTAATTGGTGCCAATTCAACTGGGTAGGTCTATTCTCAACGCAAAAGATATCAAGTACCAGTTTCGGGTAAAACAACATGGCCTACGACACACTCCGGCGCAATGGTGACTCAGCATAACACTATGCTGGCTGGCATCTGAGACGCTAGAATCACACACCTGTACCTACATGTACACCCTGTGAAGCGGCTCTAACGAAGCATGATGACGTCATAATGTTTATCAATTGGCACCAATGACGTCATACTGCAAGGGGCATAAGCCATGGTGATTTTGTTATGGAAATAGAACACTTGGTAAATGTGAAAAATATAAATCGTTTTAATGCAAAAAATATGTTAATTAATTGTGATATTTTTATATTTTTGTCTATGACACTACTAGGTTAACACTTTTAATGTGGAAAAAGTACAAGATAAATAGGTTCATTTCCATGTGAACTTGCCCTTTTAAGTGTGCAGTGTTTCGAAGACTTGTTGCAGCTTAGTAACGTTTTGATAATTCATGTAACATTTTGGTCAAATCGAAATTTTCAAATGCCCGGCTATTTATGTTTATCCATATAATGTGTATATCTTATAACGGTTTACCAAGCATAAAAGCAAAACAAATGTATGTCAATGAGTGCTTGTATACTATTCAACCCTTTCATCCGTAGATTTCACAAGGACAAGAACCAGAACGGGGGTTAGAGCAAAGCATATTTTGCAAAATATGTTGGAAGTAAGTATTCATATGAAGTATGTTATAACAGGACTGTACGATGCATATTCTGAGTCGAAATATTCTAAACAATGTAAACTATCAAGTATAGAGTGAGTGAGTGAGTGAGTTGGGTTTAACGCCGCTTTTAACATTATTCCAGTCATATCGCGGCGTGTCAGCTTAATGTGGGAGGAAAGCCCGAAGTGATGCAGGTTTTAGACGTTTACCACTTCGGTGAAACCCACGAGCACGGGTATGGTGCTGACAAACCTAGAAACATAATTGGGGCAAACCGGGATTCGAACCCACAATCATAGGTTTCTGGCATGCCCAAGGGACGCAACTCTGCACAGCAAATCGCGGCGCCTTAGACGACTTGGCCACCCGTGCCCCCATCAAGTATAGAGACAAACAATCGCCGCAACAACACTATTTTGTGTAGCACATGTCCTGTTGTTCGTCCTGTAGTTCTCCCGAAGGATTTAAAACAGGAGGCCCAAGAGTGATCAGAGAAGTGCAATCATTATGCCTACTACTAACACATCCTTGTTCGTGTGAGACATGCTACATACAAGGAAACGTACTTTATCGAACATTGTAGTTTAAACCATTAAACACAAACTAATTTCATTCGGCTAAAGCACGTTGGTATTTTTTAACAAAAGATAATTATTGGACTCATACATCTTATAAATTGCAGAAAAACAACCATCGCCTGCCGGAGACCCGGAGACCTAAAGATTACAGTAATCTCAATTCTCACGTGTTAAAATGCGAGACACTAAAAGCGCCTGCAGTATGCTTTAGTGACGCTTGTTCCGTGAATTAAGTTATTGATTAGTCCTGTTCTTCGTCATTGGGTTCCCCCAGTGGATTTAACACGGGAGACACGTGTTGGTTGAGCCAAGGGATGCTGAAGGCCTTGTTAAACCCTATGCACTCTTTCACTCAACTGTCTGGTTCATGAGAGGTTCTTGGCTGGCATACCGCCTGCTTAGATTTTGAATATAGGATGGAAAACTGCCAGGCAAAAGAAAGTATAAAATTGACAATCGGCTTTGAGTAAAGCATTACAAACGTTATCAAAACGTTACAGGGTTGAATACAGTTGCAGAAACACTGCAAAAGTAAGGTGAAAACAATGATACCGGTGTCGAATACATCACCATCGATATAACTATTTCTTGTTTGTTTCATGTTTTGCCACCTTGAAACATGATGTATACTTTCTTTTGCCCGGCACTTTACATCTGTGATTTACAGCAGTGGCCAATCATGTCATGGTTTCGACATGTTCATAAATATACACATGGCATTACAACAAGTAAAAGTGCACTGAAATGAAGTCGAAAGATGACGAAGGAAAAAAGGATTGCCCTTAACTGAATTCAATGCCAACTTTCGACATTATAATCGGAGCGATTACAGTTTTACGCCACGTTTGAATTGTATTTCATTAACAAATGTATAACGTGTCAGAATAATATGTGGAAGGGCTGGTTAAAATCAGTATGTATCATGGGTTATTTCATGTTAATGTCACACGTTGTACTTCTCTGTATACGCTTGTGGTTGTATGAGAACAAACATCTGAATCTGAATCTGAATCAGAAAAGCGAAAGATAAGGTAAGTCGTAAGCATTGACAACTTTAACGAGCGCAAGAGCATGATTGAGTGAATATTATTTTATGCCGCTTTAATCAACTATTCCAGCAAATTCACGGCGGGGGACTCCTGAAATGATCTTCACACATTTTATCCATGTAGAGAATTGAACTCGGTTCTTCAGCGTCACGAGCGAACGCTTTAACCACAAGGTTATCCCACCGCCCCAGAGTAGCAAATTGGTACGTTTTACGCTGGTTTGGGCAATATTTCATTACCACCACGACATATCAGTTTAATGTGAGACTAACGCTATCCTCGGCGCTATGACTCGGTACTATACACTTTGGTGAAACCAAGTTTCAAGGATTGTAATTAGAAAATCTGAGGTTTGCATCCACCAGCACATCCTGACCCACCTAAGGGCCACAACTCTACGACGCCTGGGCAAATCACGTTGAGACAACCCTTGAGTAGGATTATGTGGATAACCTCGGAGTACACAGTGTGGCTTATCAGCTAGTTCCTATCTGAATCGCTGGACAGTCATCTGTCATAAACGGATGCGCTTGCATACTGAGTGGGGAATATGAGTGACAAGACGGGGCATAGTTCGCCCGGAAGGTTATCAATAACCAGCTGATGACAGAGAAGTCATTATAGACGGATATATGTAGTCTGTGTACAAAACACGAGAGTACCAGTCAGGCAGCTAATCATGTAGGAGTGCAAAACAAGTCACATTCTTAGATGAATTTCTGTCCTGAGACAACAGGATCTTTTTTCTCAGCATGATTCGTGGGTTAAAATCAGGACAGTTTTGAAACATACTCCGAATCGCTTCACAGTTACAGGGTGATATATTGATCTTAAACAAAATTAATATTAAGGTTTCAGCACCTTAACTATGGGAACTGACTACAAAGATACAGGGCCCCTTATATAATTATTAAAATGTCTTCCCACTACAGATATCGTTAGTCTATGCTGCAGTATAGAGAAGGTAGGAAATACCGCTACGTCCGGTCTTGGAGGGTCAAGATTTGGTTTTGCAAAACCGATACAGTTTTATTATTTATTTTTCACAAACATCATGCCATATAAAATGTATTTTATTCCCAGAACCAATGTACAGTTCTAAGATGTATCAACAACATCACACTGAATAATCAGCATGAACGATAACTGAGACTGCTAGTTATATCTGTTGTCTCTGTGCAGGATCCAGCCCTTTAAGAACCACAGGAGGAAGCAAGGTTTAGGAACTGAATCGGGTTTAACCTCGGACGGTAAATGAATAATTTGAGAAAAAATAATTATTGGTGATAAATCTCAAGCTCGAGGACGTCAATAGAATTAAAGAAGGATCGTGACTAACTCTTTTAACCTAAATATCCTTAAACCTATTGATTCAGATTAAATTACTTTCACTGGAACTGGTCGATTCGCGAGGATCTTCTCCTATGAGAGTCGTCGTGCCTCTCAAGCTTGCTTACAAAGTATGGTTCGTAGAAGATTGGACGATACAACAATTACAGAGAAAATGGTGTCTCTGGACTATCGATGAAAGACTTGAGCTCATCGCAACAGGAACTGACACTCAAGATAAATGCAACCTGTTGAATGACTGCATTCATAAGTCGACTTGTCAATTGCTCTGACAAACCGTCAACCCGGATCGTAAAGCGTTAATGTGTTCATATGAACAAAAAAGGTTTATCTTGATGAGTGTATCGAGTATTTTTCAGTGCCCGTCTATGATAAACTGCCGGGCAAAGGAAAGCATACACCATGTTTGATGAAAAAATGAAACAAACAAGAAATGGTTACTCGACGATGATGTACATACATCATATGAACGAGTATCTCACAACACATGTCGTCTCAAAGAACAACATGGGGGTCGCAATTTCAAATTCAACATTCAAGTGTATTATAAGTTAATATCAATCTGACTACCCTCAACCCTAAATAGAGTAGTCTAATAAATCGAAAGATGAGAGGTGTTTTGAAGATTTAATCAATGTGGTTTTTTTAACTTTCAATTAGTTTGTCTTTTGCACCCAATGGAATCGGGTTCGATGGATAATCGAGACTGGTTATGCTCTGGCATTGATCATGAAGTTTCATATTTGAAACAAGAATGTAAGCTCGATTTGGACAAATTTGATATATTGTTTTTGTTCTATTAAACAGGTTTTAATGCCCCTGTGACCAGTTTTAAAAATTGATGTTGACGCTAACTACTTCATGTTCGTTCAGAATATGTTCCTTGTCATATTATACATATACAACTTAGAAAGCGATGACTGTTATATTAATCTTAAAACAGTACAGGGTATTGACCCTTATCTCTACATAAATAAGGAAAGTATTTGATGTCATTGACATTACGCTAAAAAGCTTGAAGGATCAAGCACCTGGTCGTAATCTTACACTTATCCATCAAAAATATTATTTTTAAGTATAACTCCATTCCATAGAGGGGTATGCTCCAAACGCCGGACAGTATTACTTTGTCAACGGATCGATGTACATTTAAATTGAATTGAATTAGGTTCAGGGTTAAGACTTATATATACAGCCGAGGTATCCAGTACCCAGGTATCGAGTACCCAGGTATAGATGGATGAACTGATACAGATCTTTAAATTCCCTTGCCTAAAGATTTAAAAGCTCGCCATACGACTCTTGCATAAATGTTGTTTTATCTGGGTTACAACGTTAAGGCCTCAGTTAAGCTTGCAACGGGTTTTATGATGGACATGTGGAGGACATTTCCAAAATGAAGTCCGATGCAGTTCCATACTTTGACTTACATGTTCCCGTGTTTGTTCATGTGAACACTTGACTAGCCTTTGCATGTGTTTGTGACGGGTGCAACCTGTGGGGCAGGATACGCTCACCTTTTCGCGATTTGATAGTTATCACTATTTGCTTATTATTCATACACACGAGAACATGCTTATTGGAATACTAGTAGTCGGAATCGTACAATGGACTTTGTCGCGTTTATTTCGGTGTGTGTAGGGTCGAGTCCATATAAACTGCCAGGAATAAAGTTTCCCGGGTGCAGTCTCCAGGGTACCTACTCCCAGTGCTGACCTCAGGGCCCCCGACAAACTGCACAAGCTCGTTACAGTTGCTACCACGTGACACCACCTGGTTTGTTTCTTGTCTCAGAGTTTCCAGATCGGTTTATTAAACGAATGACACTTTCTTTTTGTCCTGATAAAAGAAAGACATGACAATTTCACACAAGAAGCGCATTTAAACTGCGCCCACCGATATTGATTTTACTCTAAAAAGGCAACAGGTTGGCAGAGTTTAAATTCAGAACGGAGCTTTAGAGAATTTGTGTTTTAAACGTGTGGGTGAGAACATGTTGACCTTTCAGTTTGTATCTCTCAAAATTATCCCTTGGACAATGTTCGTCTCGTTTTGGATAAATATATATTGAATGAATGAATGAATGAATGAATGAATGAATGAATGTTTTTTCAAATACCTTATCATAAACAAACGGCACCCAACAAGGACTCGCTTAGTAATCTATGTACACAACCGAGGTTATAGCATATAACTGTTTGGCAGTGTTTATCAATGTATCGGTGTATCAAAGTATCAATGAACCAGTGTATCAGTGTATCAGTGCTTAGATGTATCAGTGTATCAGTGTATCAGGATCATAATTATACAATGTGTATACTTCTTAAGAGCATAGCATAGTTTTACTAGCTTTATGAGAATTTTTATGAGAACCAACTGTCGGACTGACTCTGTAATACCGTTTCAATAGCTGATAAACGTGATGGAATCGGCATTCTTTAACCATAAAAACCAATATCATTATCCCTCGACGCCACAACAGTGATTCTCACAAGTTTTACCCTACACATTTATGCTTTTGAATATGTTCTTTGCAAGACAAAAAAGCTGCATCAGTATATATGTATATATTCTGTATGATTGAATATAAGAACATTTGCATTCAATGTTTTCTTCTGTATCCTGATTATGCGATAGGTTTTTTTTAATGACTGTTGTTCAGAAATATTTCCAAAACTTAATCGTTTGTTTGTGGATAATAGCAAAGCGTCAGTACTATTGTGTTAATAGTGTACATGAATAGATTGTTTGATGGTGCTCAGAAAATAAGGTAAAGGCAAAACTGATTTTTCCAAACACCCCCATCAAGGTTATTTCTTTTTTAACAAATGTGGGAGCATATAATTGTATAGGATTAAGATGTGGTCGCTCCATTTCACTAACTAATTATTTAAGAAAACAAGAAAAATGTATTTAATATCTACTTTGGATTACGCCAAAATAAATATGTATGTCTCCTGTTTCAGTTCATCCCTAACATATGGTACATGTAGGTAGGTCGTTTATGTCCATTCTTTGAAAAGCGGTAATTTGTAGTTTGTCAAAGCCTGATTTGAAATAGAGATATTGACTTGGTTTTATTATAAGGAAACGCGACAAATTTACACCGGTGGCAACCTAAAATCATGTTAGGTTTTGGGTTGGTGATTATGGACGGCCGGGAAACCAAATGTGGCCCGTAACACAAAACGTAGCAGCTACACGATATATGGTCAAAATTGTCAAAACTATGGACAAGGATATTGTGACCATGTATATACGGGCTGTGACCATGTATCTTGTAGCTTCTATTTATAACGTTACATGACCCTTTGGTGGAGAATGGATAAGTGTTTGGCATGTGGTACAAAGGTTTGAACCATAGAGTGTGGGCAATCTATATGTGGGGTTTATTCCGAGTCAAACAAGATCCGAGTAACCAATACTTTCATAGTGAGTGAGTGAGTGAGTTCGGTTTAACGCCGCTTTTAACAGTATTCCAGTTATATCGCGGCGTGTCAGCTTAATGTGGGAGGAAAGCCCAAAGTGATGCAGGTCTCAGACGTTTACCACTTCGGTGAAACCCACGAACACGGGTATAGTGCTGACAAACCTAGAAACATAATCGGTCAAACCGGGATTCGAACCCACAATCATAGGTTTCTGGCGTGCCCAAGGGACGCAACTCTGCACAGCGAATCGCGGCGCCTTAGACGACTGGGCCACCCGTGCCCCCTACTTTCATAGGAGCTTCAACAGGGATCGGGAAGCAAAGGGTCTCTGTTTGTACTTATTGTGCGTCGTCGTGGTGGCATAAGTCCAGATCCAGACTCGAATATCTACAATCCATCGTGATATAGCTTAAATATCGTTGATTGAAGGCGTTTAACTGCATTCACTCACTCAGTCTGAAGAAACAAAATTTGTCTCGAAAGCTGTTTCCTGACTAAAACGATACGTAACGAGGCATTTTGGAGAAAGCCATTTCCTTTTCTTTGAGGCAATAAATGGGCAGACATATGTCAGATTCCATATTTCACTATGTTCATGTATACTCTATTATAAACATATCATATGACATTTCACTGAAAACAAAGACAGTCTTGTCGCGGCAATACGTATGTTACACACATGGATATATAACATGCACTATGTTTTACTTTGATCAATAGTTATATTCCTGTCCTTACACTGATCATTGTCACCAAGTTTTGTTTGAAGTAAAGAGCATGTTTTTATCTATTCACCGTCTGGGCTTTTTATGCTGTTTTTAATACCTCAATTATTTAAACTTTTAGTAACGACCTACCGGATTTTGTCATATTTGACAGATTTAAATTTTGACTTGATTTGACTAATTACTAGTTTACCATTGAATGCCATAGTTGACTTAGATATTTGTTATCCTAAACTTTTATTGTATTTGTTAACTCACTCACTCACTCGATCACTCCCACACACTCGCCATCATACTCACGCATTCACTTGCTCACACACACACACGCAAACACACAATCACGTTCGCATTCACTTACTCATTCATTTAGATAGTGCCCCATCACCCCTGCACTTGTCTCCCTGATTAAGCTGACGCCCACACTCGCTGTAGCTTCTGTCATGATAACGGACTTATTTTCCCACTGTTGTTTACTGTGGTGTGATGACTGTCATTATTACAACTTTTTTTAATTCCTTGGAGTATTTTTTGTGCAAACTGTCAAAGTACCTGTCTTTGGGATTTATAGCATGTGGGTGTTATTGTACACTGCGTTTAACAGACAGGAATTGTTTAGACATACTGCATCAATATGGGGAACAAGGTGTGACGAGGGAACGATTGAACCGTTATAAATGGTCTAAAAACTGATATCAGTCTTGAAATCGTACATGTTCTTTTTGGTTTACGCGATAGAATTACATGCCCCAGGATATATGTTAAAATTGTTATTTGGCTTGTAAGCTTAAAGGGGGATAATGCTCGGGGCAGTTGGCAATCCAAGCAAATTTGAGTCATTAAAATCCGCTGAGACATATTTTATTATATAAACTGCAGGGCAAAGGAAGGTGGAAACGCAAGATTGGTGGTGGCTAAAACTGAAACAAATACGGAATGGTTATTCAATTATTCACACGGGTATCATTGTTGTGTTTTGTTTTCGGTGTTTCGGCATCCGTTTCAGCTTAGTAACTTATTAATAGCTTTTGTGTTTTGTGTGTGTAAAATCCAATTTTCAAAAGTATGCTTCCTTTTGCCCGGATCGGAGAGTCGATCATGGACTCCCATCCCCAATACCAACAAGAAAACTACAACCATACCTTGGTATAAGTCTTGACACACGCTGGCAGGTAGGTCACATCTTGTCATCTTAGAACTGAAGAGAAGTCCCCCTTGGTCCAGATTACACTGTCTGTAGGTGATGAAGGCATTGTTCTTACACTCGTAGAAATACTGAAGTCCTTTGTTGAGCGCTGGATATAATCCATCGGTTTTACTGTTGCACGGAGGCGCGATGCCACAAGGGGGCGACGTACTACCAACATCATCACATATTTTGAGAGCTTCATTATAGACTAAGTTATTTTCACACTGAAATTTAGCGACAAAGAACCCTCTATCACACTGTATGTAACTATGACATGACGCGTCTGGAGAAGGATGGTAGCCATCTTCTAAACGTAGGCATGGGTTTGTTTTATTCCCGCAGGGTTTGACAATGTCTCCAGATACGTCGCATATACGCTTCTCGGGGTTGAAAATTCCATTCGGGCACATGGATACACCAGCCAGTTTGTTTCTTGTACATTCTAGGTAGTGTGTGCATCTTCCAAAGGCGTCAAGAAAGAGTCCATCTTGTCTGTCCTTGCAGACATTGGGCATGTCAAGGTTGCCACATGGGTAGGGGACATACTCCGAATCTTCACATCTCTTTGTTATTGGATTGAAAAGCTGTTCGGAGTCGCATCTGAAAAATCCCGTAAACATTTCTCCTTTGCAGGCGTAGTACACGTCGCATCTACCGTATTCGTCGGCGTAGACATTGTCTCTTCGTCCTTCGCAGCTGGGCCTCCATCCGCCATGTTGTCGTGGGATGCTGTATGGAGTCTCGCATGCTCGGGTGAGCGGGGAGAAGACGGCACTCTTATCACAAACGCCCTGGAACACAGTTCTCTCCTGGTAGCACTCCACGAAGAAAGGCTTCCATTCCAGTTCTGGCCATGCGTTCAGTCCATCGTCCTGCCCTAGGCAACTGGCATAACGTACCCAGCATGGGATGCAATGTGAGGTCTCGTGACAATGATTGGCGCGGTAGTCACCTGGAAACAGTAACGTCAAATCAAACCAATTTTAGGGTATTCATATTGATATTTCTCTCACATTTGTGAGTGTTGGTGTGATTTTCCCGAACACCCGGTGTCATCACTGATTTTCAGTGATCCATTGATATCATTTTCACTGCTATTTTGCCTTTTACGCCAAATGGAATCTGTTTCAGAGGATGATCGAGAGTGTTTATTCTCTGGCGTTGACGTATTGTATTTGAGCCACTTTTGCTCATATCTAAGCCATATTAAAGCGGGAATAGCAAGAATGGATTTCACAATGGGTACTAATTTCGGGAATATAAATAGGGTATTCGAAGTGACAAGCCACTGCATCACTTCACTAAACCCCTTATAGACGAGTACAGAAATATGGAAATGACACATACATACACATGTTAAGTCACGGATTGAAAATTAAGTTCGAGAGACGAGTGGGCAAATCCGGTCATACCTGCCATACCCACATGCGTGGTGAAGGGCGAGCTCACGTTACAGACATCCCTAGATATAGATATCTTCTGCCATCTGAACCAAGGAACTATTTTTGTCTCCGTAAACATGAGATGGATGTTTTCCAGACATTTGTATTTGGTCAGATTTGTGAAAGGTAGTGCAAAAAATCATAGACATCAGTTGCAGTGAAACTCATATTTCATTCCCTCGCTACAGCCCTATGTAAAAAGATCGCGGCAGACCTCTTATCTGTAATATCGGGATATTTTCATTGTTCTCTATGAACACCCCCGAAGTACAGGACCACGATTGGGGTAACCGTATTTGAAGTTAATTGTTTAGTATATACAGTAAACAACGTTTATATCGAAAAACGCTTATGACGAACTGACGGATATAACGTACTGGTTTTGGTCCCAGGCATTTGCTTTATATATCCTGTATATATGTTTATAACGAATTGCGGTTATTACGAACTACAATTAGTGGTCTCATTGGGTTCGTTATAACCGGAGTTTACTGTTGATGAATTTACATGTACATAGCTTATAAGAAGTAAATAAACATAATTTGATCTCAAATTAAAATTGAATAACGAACCGAAACGCCTACTGCTCAGAGAAAATCATCTGGGATTTTTTGTCAGAGACAGATGGTTTTGACTCAAACATTTTCTCTGTAAGTAGCCGAACAATTGTTTTGTCACCAACACATTTTTTAGAAGATTTTTTTTAAAACATAAACCTGGTGACAAAGCACCCCCACTTTTTTCTGGAACACCTCTTTTGTCCGATGTCAGGGTGCGGGGAATTAACTGTCTTCGATGTGAGTTTTAAATAGGAGAGCTCGTGAGTGTTTCGACTTACATGGCGATTTTGGTTCTTCCCTCCCTCTACACTCAACGTCCTCGAAGTCCTCACACTGCATGGTATCCGCTGAGAACAGCTGAGGGTATGGACATTCCATGATAAAGCCGTTGTAGAAGGTCTCCATCACTGCATCTGGCGTCATGGAGCAGTTGAAGTACCAGGCACAGTTGTCCGGGTGGGGCTGGAGGGGTGCTCCTCTACGACACGACATGCCGTCAAGCTCATCGTCTGGAAAGGTAAAAATGGGTGAGTGAGTGAGTTGGGTTTAACCCTGATTTCTTTCTCCGAAATAACGGCATGTTAGTTTCATGCATTATGAAAGCCAATTATGAAATCCAACGAATTCCAGAATGGTGCTGACAGACCAAGGTTCATTGGGTTGACCAGTGGATCCTGACAACTATGGAACGCCACTCTGCAAAGCGTGTTGCGGCAAATTACATCACAAGGAGGCCATATGTGAAAAAAGGACAAGGCAAACAGTGTGTCAGAATTAGAGAATATGAAAAGACGGGAAAAAAATTGAGTGCTTTGGCAGTTTGGTTTTTTTTGTCCTTTATCAGAACCTTCACATCGGACAGATTCACCATGCCATCCTATTACGGTCATGAGCTCTAGACAGCGAGAGAATCCGTGCCAGTTGTTTTGATGAGGATTTTCGTTTAAGAGGGACTTATGTTTATAGCGTGGGAGAATTATTACATCGTTTGTCATCCTTTGTCAAGAGCTACAACTTAAGCACTATTACCTTTCCGTAATGCGCGAGATAGTATGTTTAGGTAATTCGATGCTGATTGGGGTAAATAAAAGGACACAACCATATACATGTAGTATATATAATATATGCAGCAAGATAATGTTAATTAGTGTAGTCAATGGAATATGTCTAGCGAAATGCTAATATCTGGAATGTTCACCACATGGACCACTCTTGTGTGTTCTTTTATTGCCGAATAATCCATGGAATTCGTCGAGGTACTTACCAACTTCATAAAACAATAAAAGCGACAAAACCCTTTCCAAATTCATACGATATCTCTGCTCAAAGCAGTTGTCCACTGTACGATTCCGACTATATCATCAGCATGTGTTTATGAATCACTATCAAATAGTGATGATTCCATGTGTTCGCGAAAAGGTGAGCCTATTCTTCCCACCGTTAGCACCCGTCACAATCACATCCAAAGGTAAATCAATTGTTCACTCGGAAAAAAATCACTGGAGCATATTATGGTACAAGTCAAAATAGCGAACTGCATCGTACAACATTTTTGTCACTGATGCTTCATATTTGGAAAAGTGATCCTGCAGGCGAAATCTGTGTACGCATGCCCTATCAGTGCTGATGGGGCACAAGATCATGTGACAATTGTCAGACACATGATACAACAAAGAACCGAGCTATCAGCTACCAGCTGTCGCTTTTATTTTTAAATATCCATTGCATTGTGTTTGTAACATAATGTGTTTCGGGGTGTAAACAAATGACTACATGTATATAAGTAATATTCAAAAAGTTCATCGGCAATGACAAGCAATTGGCATAGCCATCTTTTGCGATCTTGGCAATATATACATGTACTGTCAGGCAAAAGACAGTATTCACCCATGTATGGTGGCTGAAAATGAAATAAACAAGAACTGGTTATTCGATGGTGATGTATTTGATACAAGTATCATGGTTTGGGTTTTATCTTACATTAAGTTTACAGTGATCCAGCGACTGTTTTCAGTCCGGTAACGTTACGATAGCGTTTGTAAAACATCACATCCAACTTTCAAGTGTAGCTGTCAATTGTAAATCAATACAGGACTTAGACTATAGACATAAAGCCTACAGATCTAAACGTTAACATGTAAGATTACAAACCATAAAATCAGTTTACATAGTTGAGTTTATTTAAAACGTACATTAACGGTGGTGATGAGAGATACCATTGATTTCCTCTTGCTGGCCAACACATCCTGGCAGGATATCTGGCATGTCCAGGGAACATTCATTGTATCAGGTAATTGCTAAACACAAACAAAATATACAAATCATATTATCCCAGGTTTGTGTTTAGCAATTACCCGATACAGTGACGTGATTGTGTTTCTGTATGTTCAGTGCATAGAATGTTAATAGTCTTGAGATGATAATATGAAGTTTTGAGTTTGAAATGAGTTGACGATTTGCGATCCCCCGTACGAGTGAGTCTATGACTATGATTACCCTCACTTTGTGCCAAATTCAAGCAATATTACGACAGGCGAATGTCCTAGAAATGTGGGGAATCGAAACCGGACGGTCGACGTGACAGACAAACGCTTAAACCAGTCGGCTAGCCTACCGGCCGCACCTGAAAGGTGTCTTTAGCAAGCGACCTTTCATCCGTTAAACAGTTAAACGTAGTGGGTGCCAAAAATAATCACTTGCTCCAGGTCAATTACGATGACAGGATCACGGCCCTGACGATCGTCATAAATCAGAGTAATGCAAGTCACTCAACGCACTTTTCCGATGACCAAGGGCAATATCTATGGGATTACACTTCAAGGTTCCTAAGCCACCCACTGATTTCCTTTACAGTTGCCTTCACGGAAGTTAAAGTGTTACCTTCTATATTAAGGTTGAGAAATATCTAACATGAAAGGATGCATTTGATTATTATCTCCACTGGTAACAATCCCACTGGCTACAACTACTTCGCCAGATGATAGGGAAACTGGGGATACTTAACATTTGATAGGAGTTCAAAGATAATCCACATTTGATAGCAAATCAGAGATACCAGACATTTGACAGAATTTCAGATGTTCTCAACATTTGACAGAGATGTAGAGATACGTCATAGTTCATACGAATTCAGAGATACTGTGCAGTTGATAGGAATTCAGAGGTACTCTAAAGTTGATAGGGATGTTAAGATGCTCCACAATTAATAGGAGTGAGTGACTATGGTTTTACGCCGCTTTAAGCATTATCACGGCGGGGGACACCAGAAATGGGCATTGAACCCATATTGGGAATCGTATCTGGGTCTTCGGCGTGACGAGAGAGCGCTTTAACCACTGAGCTACCAACGTCACGACATATGCACAAAGAAACAGGTCAGCAAGAAGGGGAGCAAAGTTAGTGTACATAGGGATATCTACTTCCTGCCTTAATGTCTTCTCAAATTTCACATGGATGTTAAAGAGGTTGCATACAAAAAACAAAAAATTCAAGAAATGGGTATATTTGGTATCATTTTGTAGGAAAATATGTCTTGAATAAAATTACGCAATAAATAAACCAAGTCACCTCGGCATTTTTTGAATAAGTGGCGCCATCTAGAGGCAACGGATGATAAAGTCATTTTGCCAATAAAACGGTCATTTTAAAGTTTGATTATTAAATGAGTGTTTTTAAATAGACATATAATACAGTATTGATATGACACAAAACAGAAAAATGAAAATTCAAGTGAAAACAATTTTAATTTCACACATCATTTGACAAAAGCACATTTTCCAAAAAAATTGATTCATCAGTCAAAAAAGCATTTTACAAAATCAAGATATTTTTCAAACTGGCTTATTTCTAATGTTTATTCATTGTAAAATAAAATTATAAAATAAAAACAACATGTTACCAGAGGGTATTCAAATTATTTTCAATCAACACAGCATACCCCTAAAATAATGAATCAGGGGAGGTAACTCTTGCCCAAATTTACATTTCTATGAGTAAAGTACAATTAGCCGCGAGTCAAAGGGACGTAACCGCTTTCCAAATACTCGCCGTTACATGCGCGTCCGGTATGCGCATGAACAATGGTATCCAACGTCTTTAACCAGTAAGCTACCAACGTCACGACATATGCACAAAGAAACAGGTCAGCAAGAAGGGGAGCAAAGTTAGTGCCCGTAGGGATATCTACTTCTTGCCTTAATGTCTTCTCCTCAAATTTCACATGGATGTTATCAACGAGGCTGTCCAGTATTTCAAATGTTATGTTTTCACTGAACATTTACTTTCTTTTTTAACTCATTGAATCTGAAGATAACTTCATCTATGTCAACATCTATGGCTGTCACCAAGATTAATAACATATGCCCCATGGATCTTGGAATAACGTTTTCCCTTAGGTATGTCGTGTGGGAGAGTGATGTACAAAATTGAAAAATCAAGTGTTTTGGTAGAAACGAACTTGGTTGTTCCTGAGTTTGCAAAACGTTAAGGGAATCCTTTTGAGGTTTTAAGAATCCACATGGTATTAATTCCACTTGTCTCAAATGCTTGTTGTGAATTTTAGAAAACCCTTCCTTGATTGTATTAAGGATCATGGTTAGTCTTTGAGACAGGGATTTGGTGGTACCCAGCAATATCTCTCTTATGGAGCTTGGGCATCCAATACAAAAGGGGAATCGACATGTCTTCAGGATTTAGAGTCAGAAGTTGATTGTACTGATATATGGTTTTGGCAGATTTCTTCTAAGGGTAAATTACTGACCTAATATGTGACATTATTTGATATGTCAATAATGCAAAGTTCTTTGATCAAACATTTGATTAAGTGATGCTTACATTTAATGGTTGTGTAATCTTAGTCCATATCAGTGGGTGCAACTGCAAACGTTTCGTGTAGGGCAGCCAGGCTTTGAATGACAGCTGCCTGGGACAGAAGGGTTTATTCCAATTTTGTTTCCTATTGTTTAGCTTTTGCATTCTACCGATCAAGCTTCGACAGCCTCCATTATTATTTTAAAGATGTGATCACAATTGGAAAGAGACTGCTCTGAGAATATTACTTAAATTTAAGGCATCCTTTCCCATGTTTGCAAATTTCAAGAACTATTCTCTCTGGTCGATACTGCTCTTACAGTTTGTAGACCCATCCATCAGCAAAAAATTCTGGAGCCGTTTGATTTCCTTGAACTGCACAGATTATAGTCTTGTTCTTACTTTTCGCAATCCCAATGGTTCCTGAATTAGAGGCAACTAATCTTCAAAATGATTGGAATCATTTGGCATTCGTCCTTTCTAGCCACCATACCTCTTTGAGATGCTGAAAACAGACTCAATACATTGACGTTGGCAGTTCGTTGGTTAGAGAAAAGTATATTATTTTGACATTACACACCTACTGCGTTAGCAATTACTGTCTGTCTTTCTTTTTTGTTTAACGCCGCACTCAGCAATATTCCAGCTATATGACGGTGGTCTGTAATCGAGTCTGGACCAGACAA